CCCCTTGCCTTCTCACTTACCTTTACACTAACCGCGTTGCCCCTAACATGAATGATGTTGCCCAGATTTGCTGTGTGGCTCTGGGTGAATGACTGCCTCTCTGGGCTGTCACCCGCCTCCTCACTTTGTACTCTTTGCCTGAATTCCTGTGGCTCCCACCAGGTGGCTCCAGACAGCCAAGCTCCCTCTAAGAATGGCTGGCTACCTGTGGCTGGAGGGCCATCCTCGTCCCTCCTGGGGGGCACCAGGCCCGTGGGGAAGGAGGGAATGACTGCAGGCATTGCTGTCCACATCCGCCGGGAGGGGATAGTAGGGAAAAGGGAAGAAGGAAACCTGGCCAGAGAGCTGGTGTTTCATGCTCCTAAAGGCCTGAAGTGAGATTGTCTTGTCCACCCCTCCCGCTATTCCAGGTTCTGGGCTCCTAGGGTGGACAGTGAAACACTGGCCTGACCAGCTGATGCCCACTGCCATGGACAGTCCTGAGGGAGCCCCACTCCCTGACACCGAGCGAGGACATTGTCGCCCCAACCCAGCCAATCAGGTTGTACTGTGTGACCCTGAGGCCATGCCGCAGGGACCGCTGTGCCAGCTTGGGCAGCGTGTGAAGAGAAGCGCAGAGGAGAGAGGAGAGGCAATCAGGCAGCACCTCTCCTACCCTGCACATTCTCTTGGCCCAAGCGGTGCCCCTGCCAAAGGCACCTTCCACACCCCTCTCTGCGGCTCCAGCCCAACTGGAATTCCAGCCTCCTCCAGGAAGTCTTCTCGGATGCCCTCCTGCCCAGCCAGTGAGCACCGCATCCTCTTGTGGGTCCCCACAACCCCCTCTACTGTGAACAGCCTTGGCTGTGGGGTATAGCCAGTCGCTCAGGAAATCTCAAATGACTGAAGGTGGAGACTGGGGGATGCAGCCCTCTCCCCGTTCTCCAGCGGCGTTCTGTGTTCTACCCTTTTCCCCAAATATCTCCTCTCATTGCATCTGTGCCCGCCCCCTTGGCGTGCCCTCCCTTAATGCCTTGCCCCCTGCCTGCTGCATGGGGTTTCCTGGTTGCGTCGGAAGGACTCTGGTCGAGTAGGCAGAGATCTGGGGGCCCCTGTGCCTGGTACAGCACTGAGGCTTGGGTGGTAATCTTTTTCTTTTTCCCCATCACACTCATTTTTATTGTGACAATAAAGCACGTTTCTGCGCGGCCCCAGATGCCGACAACAGCTCCTTACTATTGGCTGCAGCCGCTCACCCTGCTTTCCACGCTGAGCCTTGTGTCATGGGTGGTGATTCTGAGGACGTTCCAGGCAGTGTGTTGTGGGAATTCTGGGCACAAGACCCCCCCGATAGAATGCGGAGCCTCAGTTGGATCTCTGACCTGTAGCTGCGCGGAGTCTGGTCCTTTGCGCAGACCGGGAGGTCGGGCCCTCGCGTGGTGTGGTGTTCACGCTCCAGCAGGAAGAGGCACGGGAGCCTGGGAAGAAATAATGTTTTAATTAGGAAAGAGTCATGTTGGCCACAAGGCCCAGAGCAGAGACAGGTGGATAAGAAATCATGGCTGTGGCGCTTGGGGGCCCAGGGACCCCTCCTTCCAGGGCCCAGCAGGGCGGTGGGGCTTTTTAGTAATCATCCCAGCTCAGGTCCCCAGCCCCTCCCTGCCAGGGTCTGTCCCACAGACGTGTGGGCCAGCCGTGCTGTTTAACAGCCGTGGTGGCAATGATTACGGCCCATTTTACAGACGGGGTGTCCCAGGTCACCACCCTCCCCTCCAGGCTGCTACTCCAGCAGCCCTTGAACTGAGGGGTCCTCAGGCCACGCAGGGGGTCCCGGGTGAGGTTGGGGGAGGGTTTCCTGCGTCTAGAGGGGATGGGGGTGTGCGGAAAGCACTTTCAGGGAGCTTTCACCCTTAACAAACACTATGCAAATTTAATGCAAATGACATGCAAATCGCCACCCATTTCTTAAGCCTGGGCAGCTCTGGCATGTTGTGAAATAATAATGTTGGACCTGTCCCTTGGTGTGGGTCTGGAGGCGAGATACGAAGCCCTTCCCTTCTTTCCTCCTCCCTTTCCCTTTCCTTCTTTTTTCCTTTCCTCCCCCCCCCCTTTTCTTCCTTCCTTTCTTTCCTTCCCTCCCTCCCTTCCTTCTCTCCCTCCTTCCCTTCCTTCACATTCCTGAGATGAACACAAACAGCAAAAATGGCTTCTGGTGTCACTATTTTCCAGGTGGGGAAACCGAGGCACAAGCCTGACCTGAGGTCCCGGGGCCACGTTGGGAAAGTGTCCCCACCAAGTGTCCTTAGCGGCCAAGGTGGGTGGTTCCTATGACCCAAGGAGAAGAGCTGGCAGTGGCTGGACAGGCTCCCGGGGTTTCTTGGCCTTAGACGGCAGGCTGCTGAGCTTGGGTCTGGAGAAATCTCGCGTTGACTTGCCCATTCCTCCAGCCCTTCTTTCTCCTCCCACCCCATCATCATATTCCTTGAATTCTGGACACAACCCTTCTGCTCCATTTGCGTGCCTTACCTTCTCTGTTTGGCAAGCTTCTATTTATCCTTGAAAACCCCAGCTCCAGTGCCCCTTCTTCATGAAGCCATTTCTGATCCTCTAAGAAGAGCCTCTGTTTCCCTCTGGGCTCCTGTGCCCCCCCCACCCCCACCACCCCCTGGCCTCTCTTTCTGGTCCGGCCATGGCCACTTGGGGCCAGCGGTGTCACGGTACACCCTGACAGTTCCAGCACCCGCCTGGTAATGACACACTTCCAAACCTTTGCATATGCATATTCTCTACCCAGAATGCCCTTTTCAGTCTTTTGCACCTGGCACACCCCTAAATTTTCAATGCCCACCACTAATGCCCCACCTCCATGTGGGCTCTACCGCTCTCTCCCAGACCACACGGGGTCCTGCAGCCTCCATCCCTCTTTCTGGCCCACGCCTGCCCCTGGGAACCGGGAGGTCTGTGTGTCCCCCCAAGTCTGGGGGTTGCCTCTGGGGACCTGGGGTCATCCAGGTTGGGACTAGTATAGAGGGGCTGGCTGTCTTTGAATGTGTATTGAACAAAAGATTAAGTACTTGAAAACAAAATCAAATTCCAGCTTCATAACGAAACCCTTCCTTCACCCTTTCCTCTTGCTCACGTCCAGGCCTTTGCCTAAGCTGCTTCCTTTGCCAGGA